TGATAGACACTAATCATAAACAACAAATGCACATGTATGTTTTTACCTTTTATGATAAAAATCAATAAGTAGACCAGTACTGAACTCATTTTTCCCCCCAGTAAGGAAATTTGCAGAGGGGTCAGATTGTTCAGATAGAGCCAAAGATAATTTTCCCTCTAAAGATGTGTATCATTTTAGCCATTTTTAATTGCAGTCTTTCGTGGCTTTGCAACAAGATTACAAGCTGGAATACTCTAACAGGGTCAGACACTTGCCATGCTAAATCTTCATCGATATGAAATGTACTGATTTTCAATAACGTGTTCACACAGCTTTCAAAAGACTTATGGTATTTACCAAGAACTTTTGTTCATTGCAGAGATAACACTTGTACAAATCCCATAGATTTGAATAGCAAGCTTTCTGGAAGCTGTGTATGCTATTTGTAAACAGTCATATCCTTGGTTGTGCTTTGTTTGTATGTTGCATTTTCTAAGATAAGAATCCTTTATAACAACATAGCAACCTGCCATCAAGAAGATTTTCATAAGCATTTTTGCTTAGGTATATGAAATATGTGACTGTACAGTTGGCGTTTCTGTTAGGTAACCAACCCAAATGTCTAAGTATTGGGTACTGGGGCACTGAAGTACATTTAAAGTGAACATGCTGCCGATAATATATTTCTTAGCAATTTTATTACCAAGATAACAGATTGAATTTTCTTGCTTAAACATTTACAGGATGAAACCCTATTTAAAAGGCAAAGGTTTACTAGATCTTACTCATGAAGGCAAAATGGCATTTACAACACACATTATTGCTATAGTTCAAGAAAGAGTGCCAATTTTTCACACAGAAAATGAAAAAAAAAAGATTTCACTGCACACATTAAATATACAGCAATGTTAAATTCATAGTATTTCTCATTGAACATTACTGAAACAGTGACTTGGATTAATGTGGTTCAGCAAATACAAAGGCTTCCCCCCAAACAAAACAAGAAGATTCTCCTTTTCCACCTACTTCATAGATCTCCAGAATGGTAATGATTTCACCTAGGTCAATGAAAGGGCCTGTGCATTCTAACAATAGGCTGAATGGGTAAAGAAGTGTGAAGTTGATCCATTAAGGATTAGATGAAAAATATGGACTCAAGTATCCTAGCTTCGGTATATCTGACACCCCTGAAAAGGTTAATCAAGTCTCAGAAGTTACTCAGTCACTGTGGAATGCACTCAGGATATGATCAGTCAATGAGAGTTTGATTTTACATTATAAAGCTCAGCATGGCAGGGTCCATGTCTTTATCTGTGTCTTGTACAATGCGAAGCTCAGTATCAGCACTTCATTAATAAGGATAACATAATGCTTAGACTGTTGTGGGTGACGTTCCTTTGGAAATAGTCTAAAATTGTCTTTTTGGCTTTCAGGAGTATGCATCGCTCCTGCTTATGTAGTTGAATCCTAAAGATTCGGATAAGGCTGTAATAGGACTTTCAAAAGCATGTAGGCTTCCATAGAAGAGTTTTCTCAGCCAAAAAATAAACAAAAGGAAAAGGACAGGAATGCAAGGAAGCCAATAACTCTTCTATCTACAATTCATGACAGCGATTCAGGTGCTAATTTTGAGGCTGGTTTAGAGGAGTGAGGTGGAAAGGACTTGGGGCAACGCTGCTTGTTCCGCTAGAGAAGAAGGTATACACAGTTTGCTAGAAAAAAACTGCAGATTTCAGCATGAATGATAAAAAAGATGAGGGGGAATGCATTCAGTGATAACTAGGTTTGTGTAGGTGAGGAAATGATAATGCGAGCTCCAGAGTAAATTGGATGGGCTTGTCAAAGCCAAACCAGATAATGTTGCCATGGTTATTGAGTCACCCAGATAAAGAGACCAATGTTCGCTATACTGTATAAAGGTTTGGGATAGTCTTTGTGATCCTTTATGAGGGCTTTCGGTAGATACTAATGTTCAGATGTGCAGCTGGGTATCTCTGTATCATCAGGGAAAACAAATCAAAGAGTTAAAAGGAAGGGGAAGGGATGTCAAAATGCTGTTGGAGCCATGATTTGGGACGATATCTAACAGGGTCTCATGAGAATCTAGACTGATTGATTTATCACTATTTTTTCTGCATAATGGGTAGTCTTACTGATTTTATTGATCCTCAGTTATGTTCAGTATCATGTGCTTTATTAGACCAAGTGGCTTATATACTTAGTCACATGCCCAGAAATGAGTTTTAAAGGCTGTGGCAGATACATACACACGCTGTAGAATCTGCATTTAAGTTTTTAACAGTTACACACAGGCAATTCTACTTTGTTTTATGAGTGAAATGATCATTGTGAGTTAATGCACAATATCTACTTGCAGGGAGATGCAGCTTGGTGTGTATTTTTTTAAAAAAAAGTTATTTTCCCCCTTTATTGGTGCAATAGGAATAGCAACAATGCTACTGGGGAAGATGATTTCCAATTTATTGCTACTCAAGACCTGGATACTAATCAGAGTTCTTGGTCCATAGCTAATTAATTTGGAATTTTTGTGGCAGAAAAATTAAAAAACATGATGACCTATCAAGAATCTGGCTGCTGTGAGAATATAATTAGTGCCTATGAAGCTGGAGACCCAGCTCGAAGGATTTTGTGGCAAGGGCAGCAAGGGCAAAGAAAGTCACATTAAAAAGAGATGCAATCTCTGGTGGGTCATTTGAATTTCATCTGCAGGGTAATTTCCACGCCATTTAGCCATCTCCACAGCAGGAATAAAGAGGACTAAATATGTTATTAAAATGACAAAGTCGTACAAGGGGGGGATTTGGGTATGTGGGCAGTATGTTTGATGAAATTCAGTGAGAGAGTAGGATGAGTTAGTGTCAGATCAGGGATTTCAAGTGTTCACAGAAAGATACGGTACACTGGGGAGGAAGGGGCTGGAACACACACATTCAAGGTTCATGGTGTGTTGAGGATTAGTCCCATATAAGCAGAAGAGAGGATTACAAAACCACTACACTAGCATGGTTTGCAATTCTTCCCAACACTGGTGACTGCTCATTTGGATGTGTAGGACAACGAGCTGCAGGATCTCTTTCTGACAACTTATGCATTGTGAGATCCATTAACAAATAATTAGTGGATTTAGACCTACAATACATGCACTGTTATTGAGGTTTTTTTCCTCCTTGAAATTCAGATTTTTAAATCTAGGCTTTTCAGAGCAAAGCATGTGCCTCACTTGTTAACTGTCTGACTGATATGGGCAAAGAAAAAGGAAGGGGCTTTCTTGCTTTCAGATCACACGGGAGTCAGAGGAAAAACAAATGCAATAGGTCAAACTGGTCTGTGGAGGTGAGATGCATTTTTTCAGTCCCAAACACGCCTACTGTTCCCCATTGGTGATGAACCCAAGGTTAGAACAGATGGTGATATCACTGTTTGCTCTCCCTTGGGGTTTTCGTCAGTTGAGAGCAGCCTCCATTTTCAGTGTAGGCTCCATGGAATCTCCTGCTGGCATCTGCTGCCAGGGGATATGATGAATCAACTCACCTCCTAACCACCCTAAGAACACCTCTACCCTGCTTGTGGTGAATGTAGCCATGTAACTCTCCTTATTTTGCTTTCTAGGCACGGCCCCTTTAACTTTCTACAGACTGCCCCTCTCCGCAGGGGGAGCTGCCATTTTATGAGGCAGGGTTAATGCAGCATATTTCAGAGGAGACATGCCTCGCCCTCTCTCATGGAGACTTTATTTTTGTTCTTTCTGGTTGTGTTGTTTTCCTTAATCTAAAGTAAACACCAGACTGCACAGGAAACATAACTGCCCATGTTTAGGGTGGACTATCTGACTGACACTCTTAAGGGAGGATTTTCTGTGGGAAGAATCCCTATCAGGGTCAGTTAGGACATAAGGTAGAGCAGACCTGGTGCAAATTTGGCCTATAATGTTTGGTCCTGCTACGTGTGGGAGTCAGAGCTTTTTGGAAGGACAAGTGCCTGTCCATCACCTTTACTTACAGAGAAAACCACTGACCTTCATTAAAATCACAAGTCCTGAATCGGGGCAGTGTTCAAATACCTTGAATTCCTAAAAAAAAGCAGTTATGAATAGTATGCCTAGCTTTATGCTATATTTTTGGATTATGGGACTCTAAATTCATTCTCCTTACTTCAGTGCATTTCTTTCTTTCTTATTTAAGATTCAGGTATATCTATTAATGAGTACTAAGAATAAACCTGGTGTTTTGTGACTTTCTTAGAAATAAGTTCCTGGCAAATGAAAGCAATATAATTTAGAGAGCATCCAAAACACGTTGGACCAGATTTTCAGCTGCTGTATACTGTATACTTCAATGAAACAGTGCTGATTTATAGCAATTGAAGATCTGAGCCGCAGTGAGAAAATGTATTTAAATAAGTCCGGCTAGAAGTCTGATACCCAGTGCCTTGTACCCTGTGTAGTCATTTACATCTGAGAAAAGTGAAAGCCAGTTGGGAGGAAATGCTACCAGAACAGAGTTCTCTGCTCGTTCATGTCACTGATAGCATTTTACACCCACTTTGCACTGGTGTAGATGACTATAAATGGTGTCAGGCAGTGGGGAATCATTCATAGATTCATAGACTTCAAGGCCAGAAGGGACCATTATGATAAGTCTAGTCTGACCTCCTGCATAACTCAGGACAAAGAACCTTATGCAATAATTTCTGTATCAAGCCCATAACTTCTGTCTGAGCATATATAATACAATATAGAATATATTTTTAAAAGATATCCAGTCCTGATTTAAAGGCTCAGTGTTGGAAAATCTACCAATTCCCTAACTAAGTTCTTCCAATAGTCAATTACCCTCACTGTTAAAATGTTGCACCTTATTTCTTGTCTGAATTTGTCTAGCATCAGTTTCCAACCACTAGATCTTGTTATGCCTTTTTCTAGTAAAGAGCTATTTGCTACCATGTTGTTTACATACAAGACAATGTACAAAAGTAAATATATCCTTAAAATACAAAGATATTCACAAATCATATAAGGCAAAAAAGAAAATATACATAGTTTTCACTTGATGCAATAAGCTAAAGAGGAGCCCAAATTCTGAGCTGCAAAACCTATGCAACACCTCGGAAGTGAAGCGGGTTGCACAGGGAAAATCAGGTCAAAATTTGACCCACCATATCCAGATCTGGTGGCTGATTCTCCACTGCCTTGTAAAAGCACGCTTACCCGTTCAAGGTGAGCACAAAACTTGACCAGATCAGAATTCTCCACTCACTTACGATGGTGATTTTTTCATCTTACAGTCCCTGTGGACTCTCTTGTCACAGGTGTAAATGGTTATACAAGGAACAAGGTTGTGGAGAATCAGGCCCGTGAAATTTCATCTGTCCTGCAGGATGAGAGTATCTTTCTTAGAGAAACTCTGTGTTATGCAATGGAATTTACCTTGCAGGAGAGGTGGAAATTCAAGGTACAGATAAATAATTCTGCAGGCTGCTTCATTCAAAGGTAGTATTTTGCATTTATGGCTGACTTATGTACGGTACAACAAGTAACCAGTAAATGTAGTGACAGGTGGATACTTGGCTGGGATGGAGCCACTTGCCAGTCTGAGCCAGACTTCTTGACCGTAGTTTAACTCCAGTAAAGCATGCCCAGTTATTACCCTGTCAATGTACTTGTTACCGTTGACATTTTCAGACTGGAAAGCGAGCTTGTCTATTCCATCAACCACTAAATAGCCAGAGACGCGAGGACTGAATGATGCAATGGTGTACTCGAAAACATACACCCCAAGATATGGAACACGGAACTTTCCACTTGCTGGGACATAGGAAGATCCATAGTTGACATCCAGATTATTAAATCTGATGGGGCCAGGAGTCGTCATCCCATAGGTGTGAGAGGCAAAGAAAGCCACCATAGGTGCATATCTGTAAGATCCTTTGGAAAAATCTGCAAAGAGTAAAGAGTATTTCTGAGATATGTTTCTTGGTCTTTCCCTCCCACTCCCCATCTGTTGCATGATTAAAGAGGACCCATACTGTATGTCAGAGTTTCAAGTAGGAATTGAAACAGAGACAGTGTAGAAACATTTAAGGCATCTCGTCAAGTAGCTTCAACAGCTAGAATAGAAACAAAATGAATCCCTATGCACTGCAGAAAATGCACAATTAGTGCCAAGTGCACCTACAAAAGCTATATGTCAGAAACAGCAAGGGAACTTCATTGTTGACTGTATTGCATTATTATTAAGAAAAGCTTTTATTTTTCCGCTTGCCCCCACTGCAGGATCTCTTTCTTTCCCTGTGTCACAAATCTTTACACAGTGTGTATGGGTGTTCTGAAGCCAGGAATTGTGCTCACAGGCCCTAGACAAATATGGGAGAGATTTAGCACTCCTGACAACAAACGGGGGAAATAAAAATGTATGGGTTTTTTTCCCATTCCAGCTGAGCATACACGCTAATATCCCTGCTACTGTACAAATGATTTTACTCACTATTCATATGTAGTCATGAATGAGAAGCAGCCAAACAGCTGCTGCAAGTAGCATTCAAATCACATTTCATGTGGCTTGGATGTAAAATGTGTATTTATTTATTTTTAAGCTTGGCTGAACAAGTATATTTTCTGCTTTCCCTGTTACCAGTAGCATTTATGTGGCTTTCAGGGTACAGATCATTAGGTGGCCTAGTAATTCCTCTGATTTGATTGACTGGCTGAGGATCTGGCCCCAGGCTCAGTAGTAGCTAATGGGATTTACAGCACACCCCAAGAGGTGCTGGGCCCATCATTTCCCAGTGAAGGGACTTCACTATTGTGTAATAAAATTCCATCTCAGTTTGTTCAAATACATTTCTAACACCTTCCCCAGTAACCTGTCTACTCAACCCACCATGGAGCTCTCTGGGTTTGTGGCTGGCTCTGTGACCCAGACCAATTAAACCTTGTGATGTGGGCCACACTAAAATAGGGGATTATGGGTCATCAACAGGGATTAAGTCCTTCAATACTAAAGCACAGGACTCTTCTACTTGAGCTAAAGGAGTAACTTTAAGTGGTAGCAGCAGTAGTAGGCCCTTATCCTCTGTGAACCAGTCTCTAGAGGGGGCCACAAGATATTTAGACAGTGTATTATGTTAGCAAATGCTGGCTGATTAGTGCATGATGCAAATTGCTCATATGCATTAGTATGCTACCTTGCTAAATACTGTACTTACCTACAGTCACAGAATTTTCGTCTACCAACTTCATACTGCAGTTGACTCCTCCAAAGGGGTGGCGACAAGCACAAATAAAACTCTGCTTTTCATTGATACAGGTTCCTCCATTCTGGCAGGGGGAGGTAGTGCAGCCCAAATACTCATCTGTTTTAAAGGAAAAAAAATAACCTGAATTGTCATGGTCGCTATATTCACAAACATTAATTACAATGATGCCTACTGGGTCTTGACTAGGGCCATGCAAAACTTTTTTATCCATACTTGAAATCAGGTGAAATTCCCCTTCTGAATTTGTGTGTGAAAGTCAACCTCAGAGAGGGTTCAGTCAGAGCAGGACCCTCCCTGTCAGTCAGTTCTACCTGCACATCTTCATTCCAGGCAGCCGGTTCCAGAAGCATTCTCTCTCTCTCTCTCTCTCTCTCTCTCTCTCACACACACACCCCTACCTACCTCTACATATCTTGTCAAAGTTGGCTAGATGAGATAAGATGGAAGATGTTACCTACTATGGGTGGATGGCCCAGGGTCATCTAACAGATTTGCAATTAGGCCATGGCAAGTAGGCCCATTTCTGGCCCTGAATCAGTGTCCACCAACCCACTGCAAGCTATCTCAGGGATGGCGTTCATTGCCCACCACTCCACTTGGTGCCAGCAGAACTTGGAAAGGTCACCAAATTTGGGTTATTCTGGACCAAGAAGGGCATCAAGTTCCCATGTCTTGGAGCTCTGCCAGCTGCCCCTCTCTTATAAAGTCAACAGGATTCAGCTTGGATTCTCCTGAAGTCGTGGCGGTATGGCACAGGGACAGAGGCAATCCCTAAGACATAATATCTGAGCTCTGGAACACCATGATTTGTTCACTTAAAATCTTGCCCCTGCAATTTTGGGCATGCTACCACAGAGGCTGTTTTGAAAGTGTGTCCCAGAAATTAAAGAACGTACAAGGTTCATACTGTTCAATGGAAGGTGATGAAGATTAAGAGCTCCCAAACCACCTGCAGGCTTATGCACTTTTCTGAGCAGGGAAGCTCGCAAATTTTTCTTCTCCTGTTATATTGGTCAATCAAAGCCAAAAACTGTAGAGAACATTTTTCTTTGCTATAATTTGCGGTGCACTCGTCTCAGCCATACTATACAACAGACTCTGGTCTTAAGAGCAGAGTCCAGCAATTGAAATTGTGTATAGTTCTATGAAAAAGACAGCAAGTTGGACAACTTCTAGGTGTGTAAGAATAGGATGGTAAATTTAAAGGGGTAGTTGAGAGATGAAAGGTCCTTTCAAATAAGCTCTGATTGCCAGGGGAAGTGTTGTATTGTCTCTTTTCACAGATAACTCCATGACTGCAAATGAGGTATCTTTAGTTTCCAGCACAGCCCTTTCAGGTGCTACTGCATTTAGTCACATTATTTATATGATGAATTTTATTTCACTGAACAGAATGTTAAAGCTTTTTTCTCTTTGTGCAATGTCTCTTGAGTTTAGACTGATCAGACTTATGGACTGAAATACCAAAAAGGTTCTTGTGTATCTCATGTAATTTTTTCCTACAGTGAGTATCATCCATCACAATAGTGCTTGAAATAAAGCAATGTAAGATTGCAGTGTCAAAAGTCACAACACAGGCAGCTGAAGATGAAGCACTTGTTTGCTCCTGCCTGGATAATCGCTTTGCTCTAGATTTAATTGAAGTGACTCTTGACTCACATTTCTCAGACTCTCACAACTGCTTTTGTTGTATGTGAGGAAGGATGGATAGTGGCTGATTGTGCTGTAGTTCAAAAGCACCAGCTCCTCTGGGTGGACAGCCCAGGGTGCATGGGATGCTGAATGCATCTCAGCCTGTTAACTGGCCTGTGTTTGTGCCTAGCTGCCAGGGACAACCAAAAAGGAACAAATAGGTCCATGAAGCAGCCAGGAGGAGAGGCCAGTGAAGCAATCTGCATTGGGGAGGAGAAGGTTGGTTAAAGGGCTGCAAAGGGAGGAACATGTGTATTGTGGAGAGTGAAGTTAAACTCATCAAGAGAGACCCTCAGATGATATAAATTGGCATAAGCCAATGGAGTTACACCAATTTACAGCAGCTGAGCATCTGACCCTCCAATTCCTAGAGAGGACCAAGCCAAGTTATTAAATCATCCATAAAAAGTGAGGAATTTCCCAGAAGGAGCTCATCCTCTAGCTGTCTGCTGAAGCACCATAGTCTCTGTGCTGTGCTTGTAGCACACTATGACCCTGTCAAGCCACCAAATATTTTCCTTCTCCTTGCACCATTCAGCACTACATGACATCCCTAAACACAACTGCCATACTGCACACATCTTCTGAATGAAGGAAAGTTGCAAACAGACTTCACTTAGGGAAATGTCTCTGAGCACAGCATTTAATCTCTTTATTTAAGCCTTCACAAGTCACTAGGACAGGTAAGTGGAGGAGAGACTTGGCAAGGATAGTTAAATGAAAGGTTTAAATGGCAGAAATAACTGCAGAGGATAAGATAAATGAGGTTACTAGTTACATGCAATTCAGTGGGACGGAGGACAGATGTAATATTAAAGCAGAGTTCTGCTACTCTTAGTAAAGGCACACAGCCACAGTCTCTCTTTAGGGAATATTCTGCTGATTGTGGCACAAACAAATCTTCAAACAAGTAATGAAACTCTGTCAGTATCCACTGAGGTGCTATTTAGAAAGAAATCAGATATTTAATAATCTGATGGAACAGATTATTGCAGTTGGCCTGCTTATTGAGAGGCATGAGTCCAATTATTTAATTTGGGAATGGCTTAAGAGGAAGGCATTTGGAAGTCATTTCTCAATGCTTGGTTTTCAGTAACTGTGACTGTCTAACTATCTGCAACCATTAAAAGATGGGCAGAGTTTGGGATTATCCTGAGCCAGATTGATTTCTAACACTCCCATAGGCTGTCATACCACAACGTAGTCGCAATTAGGTCAGTAGTCTGAATCTGGCCCAGTCTGACAGCGATAAAAGTAATGGCTGTTTAGTGGCCCAGGCGAAATGAATTCCGGGTCTCAGTCCAGTGGCTAGATGTCCATGGCACAAAAGGCACAGATTGACTGACTCCCCTGTAGGCAATCTCAGCAGAGAGGCCAAAGCATGGAATTACGCTGTCCCCTCACTAGTAGCATTCAGGGTTGAAGCACATTGGCCTTGCAGTGGGGAGGTAGCTTGTACTGCAGTAGCTCTATCCTTACTGGTTCTTTTTTAAAACAGAGAATGTGAGTCTCCAGGACTTCCATTGCAATGCCTTTTGTGAGCACTAAATTAAAAAAAAAAAAAACCCATCACCATCGCCTTTCATCTGCCTATTATTCTATCAAACTAAATATGCACAATTGAAGTATGAAGAGTCAAATTGAATTAGAATAATGATCAGTCTCTTGCAATTAAAACACTTAATGCAAAATACAAATGGGCTTATTTTACTGCAGGCTTGAATGATAAAGCAACAATGAAAGCTTAACATTTCTGTCAGGAAGAGTCAGAATTTACATGTATCAGTAAAATGTGACCCAAAATAGATCTCTAATTCCACATCTACAGACTGCAGAACTCCAACTTAACCCTCATTATGAGTGTCCCACCCCCAATGGAACAAATGGGAAGTGTGCGTTAAAATTAAATGGTCTGATATAGCTTATTGAAAGACAAAAACGTTCAGTCTGTACTGTTGTTATCCATTATTACACATACCATGCTTCTGGGAGTCTGGGCCAGAAACAATAAGGAGGAAGATAGGAAATAAAGTGGAAATATTTTTGAAACCTTAATAAACTATAACTTCTGGGATGCTTGATTCTCTGATGAACTGTGAACGGTTGACTTTAGTCAGGTCCATGTGAGTGTATTGAGATGGAAGGAATGAAAATAAGTTACTGGAGATGAGAACTAAGAGAAAATAACCTTTTTGCTTATCTCTCCCTTTCCTGGTCTCTTGCTCTCTCACACACAGACACAAAATACATCACCTGCTCAATGACTGTCATCCCACTGAAGTCGGTTACTTGGTGGAGCCATTACTTAGATATTACTTTGCATTCACCCCAAATTCCCATTATATTCAGCACAAGATAGGATGAAAGGGCTTGAATTGACTCTGCTTTCCTTGTGTACACCTGTAACCACAAATGGCTTCAGAACTGCTGTCTCCTTGATTTCAAAACCTCAGTCACAAAATTCCCATTCATTTAAGTAGGGCCAAATCCTGATCACATGGAAGTCAAAGGTAATTCTACCATTGACTTCAATGGGACCAAAATTTGGCTCTAGTTGCATATGGGTTGCAGGATTAGGCTCCTGAAGCTGTCACAAAACTAAACAGAGGGCTCGTCTTCACTATGGGGAGATCGACGCCGCTGCAATCGATGCAGTGGGTGTCGATTTTGCAGGTCTAGCGAAGGCCCGCTAAATCGACAGCAGATCACTCTCTGGTCGACTCCGGTACTCCACCATTCCGAGAATAGTAAGGGAAGTCGACCAGAGAACGTCTCCCACCAATGCAGTGCAGTGAAGACACCGGGGTAAGTCAACCTAAGCTATGTCAACTCCAGCTATGTTATTCACATAGCTGGAGTAGCTTAACTTAGGTCGACTTACCCCGATAGTGAAGACAAGCCTAGAAAAACAAACATCTAAGTCCTATTAAAATCTGTAATTAGAGACTTGTAACTCAATGGTGATGCTGACCATTTGGTGGGGGAGGGATACTTCAGTGGTTTGAGCATTGGCCTGCTAAACCCAGGATTGTGAGTTCAATCCTTGAGGGGGCCATTTAGGGATCTGGGGCAAAAATCTGTCTTGGGATTGGTCCTGCTTTGAGAAGGGGGTTGGACTAGATGACCTCCTGAGGTCCCTTCCAACCCTGATATTCTATGACTCTTATGGAGCTGACACATATCACTTGTGTTGTGTATGGTTTCTTAAAATATGAATAGGAAGAGCCTTTCTGGATGAGAAAAATCCATCCCACAAGGAATAGGACAGAGCAGACCAGAGGCATAAGAGGGATAATGTTTAGACTATTTGTAGAACTATACAGTAATAAACTAGTGACAGTGCTAAGGGGTTATCTACAGTGCATACAAAAGCCTCAATAGCTTTAGAAAATCCTATAGAAACCTTACTTTCAAACTGTATAGAAAAATTACTTTTAAAAAATTGTGTTTGCTATTATCTGCAAAGATCCCTGCTGTCTACAAGCACATCCAAAGTTATCAAGAAAGCTATTTGTGAAAATTCAGAGTCATATAAATAATAAATAGGAAGGACATTTATTCATTAATGCTTAAAAATAAGCAGCTGGCAGCTTCCTGTGCTCCAGGCAGTGGCCCTTGTGACAGTTTCCAACAAAGTGAAAGATCCAGGAGGGATCAGAGTGACATCAATTTTTTCTCCTTTTAGTTTTAATTAGGATCAAGGTTTTTTGAATTTCCATCTTTTGTGCAATGACAGAGGCAGGCAGAAAACAGAGATGGCTCAAAAGGAGTTGCTGTACTAAGGATAAATAATTGAAATTTGCTTTTATTGTATGGAAAGGGTTTTGCAAATTTCAGTGCATTTTTAAGCATCTTTCAGGTGCCAGATAAAAGATTGACATATCTTCCTAAGGATAAGACAACTTTGGGCCCAATTCTTTAATCTCTGGGTTAATGGGGTTAATGTGTGTTTAAACTGAAGCATGTGCTTAAATACTCTGCTGAATAGTTGGACTTAAACACATGCTTAAATACTTGAACTGAGGCCTTAGTCAGTGTTCATTCCAATAAAGCTCAAGCACTTGCAAGCTACCACAAAAGGGTCTCAAACAGAGTGAAACTGAAGTTGGCTTTTTAAATCAAATGGATTTTTAGGAATAATTTTTTTGCACTATTGACTTAGCTTTAGTAATGGATGTGTGGAAATCAGAAACTGATCACAGATGGGGAAAAAACTGGATAGGTTCCTGCACATAATGCAGATTCCAGTTAAACCTAGTAAAGAACCTGGGAGAAAATGGGATAGAAAATGTGGATGAGTGATACAAAGAGATTTGCCAACACTTGAGCACATATAAAAGGGAAGTGTAACATGGAAATGTTTATTTCCCTTACCATTACCTATCCTGCATAGACCGTGGATACATTTTTTAAAAAGTGCCCTTGTGACTTAGGAGCCCAAGTCCCATTTACAAAAATGACTTAGGCTCCTAAGTTACTAAACCATTTTTGAAAATTTTACCCAGCATCTTATTTTTTTCTCATTTTATTTCACTTTCACAGAAGTGACACAGACTAAGCATTTGCGTGTATTATAGAATTTCAGTCAAAGCTGATGCCTAATATTGTACCTCAAATTTTATATTTTTATTTTTTGCTATTAGACCTCTGACATGAAGTTAGGAAACCATTCACATGTGGTTCTTCTCTGAAAAGTGCCTTTGTAAAAATGACATCATCTTACTTGCTTTTTAGGTATACTTAGTCACACCCATTTTACTGACTAGAGCCCTGATCCTGCACATACTTAGGGATATGTTTAACTTTAAGTACACTGGTAGTCTTACCGAAGCTTTGAAGTAGCTAGCAGTAGTCCCATAAAATCAGTGGGATTGCTCACATACTCAAAGTGAAACATGTGCCTAAGTGTTTGCAGGCTTGGGGCCTATATTAAATTTTTTTTTTTTTTTTTTACTCCCGTTAGTACTGCAAAGCCAGGCCTGCCGACAGCAACCCCAGGCCCCAGGGCAGAACAGTCAATGGGCCCCCACGCACGCACAAGCCGTGCCCATGCGGACGCGGTCCGCCTGACATTTGGGCGACGCTACGCCTGTGCTGGCTGGTGCCCAGTGAGCTGCCGGCTGCACTGCTGGGTGCGCTCTTCCGGCACATTCAGGGCTTTCACATGCCCGCCTGGTAGGGTTGCCAACTGTCTAATCGCACAAACCCAAAGACCCTTGCCCCACCCCCGTCCCGTCCCTTCCCTGAGACCACGCCTCTGTCCTGACCCTTCTCTGAGGCCCCACCCCCTGCTCACTCCATCCTCCATCGCTCGCTCTCCCCCACCCTCACTCACTTTCACCAGCCTGGGGCAGGGGATTGGGGTGCGAGAGGGGGTGCGGGATGTAGGCTCTGGGAGGGAGTTTGGGTGCGGGAGGGGGTGCAGGGGCCACCCGGGCCCTTTTAAATTGCCTGGGCCCCTGGGCAATTGTACTCTTTGCCCTCCCTCCCCCATCGGCGGGCCTGTGCAAAGCTGATGCAACTCTTGAAGAGCAAACTGGATTCCTATTCTGGTTTTCACATCTTTATTCTGACATCCAACTGCAGAATCTTTATAGCTAATGCATTAGCTGGACTGCCACTTGATTTTCAGATTCTCAGTTGAATTTGAAAGGCTGGGCTGGTATTTAAAAACTAACCCATCGTTACTTTTACATCCTAAACTGAGCAGATGTGGCTTCACTGAGGAAAAAAAACCATGGGACCTCAGGAGGTCTTTTGCAAAAAGTCCATTTCCAGAGGACAAATACACTTTAAGAGTATGTCTACACTGCAGTTAGACACCTGCAGCTGGCCCATGCCAGCTGACTTGGGCTCAAAGGACTTGGGCTAAGAAGCTATTTAACTGTGGTGTAGATGTTCAGGCTTGGGCTGTAGACCAAGCTCTGGGACGCTCGCACCTCAGACGATCCTAGAGCCTGGGCTGCCACCTATACTTGAACATCTACACTGCAATTAAACAATCCTGCAGCCCGAGCCCCATGAGCCCACGTCAGCTGGCATGGGCCCACTGCAGGATTTTAATTGCATTATACAGACACCCATAGTCACAGATATGTTGAGAGTGATCGGCTGCATTATTTCCTCCTATTCATTTTTAGTCAAGTTCTCCTGCCAATTCTGTTGGGACTGCTAATTGACTTGGTTAATTACATTGATTACATAAGCCTTTATTATAACAGTAAAGACCCCAGCAGTTAGTGTCTGTAAAATGCATTACCTGGTTCTATAGCGTTGTCTGTGTTTCTCTGACTTCGGCCTGCCAGACTTGTGGTGGCATTCACGGTCCCTTTTTTCACCACAGCTGGTTTCTTTACAGCCTGTTTCATCTGTTTCTGGAGTTTGGTAATATTGCTCAGAGCGTCAGCCATGGATTTGTCCACATACCAGGTCAAATTAGACAGGATAGTCCCTGTTTTTATTTCTAACACAGACTCTATGAGCTCTTTTAGGCCTCTCTGCAGCAGTGGGATATCAGGTTGAGCAAGTTTAATTAACTGGGGTACACTAGCATTCACTTTTCGAATGCTGGCGGAGGCATCCTGACACAGCCCCCAAGCCTCATAAGCAGTCTTGTTTAAACGGGGGATATTAACTGAGAAACGGACAGATTTTGCTTCCAGTGCCTTGACTCTGGAACTCAGTGTCTGAAGCTTGGGAGAGACCATTTGTTCTTGTTCTGTTGAAGCAACTTTGCCTTTTTTTAGTGAAACACAATTATTCACCAAAAGCTTGGTTATATTCGACTCGATACTCTTCAGGCGAACTTCTTGATCTTTTGATACCTCTGTAGAGTGTAACAGCTTTTCTTCTAGGTGACTGATGTCTTGTTGGTGCTCAACCATTTTGGATGATGTTTCATTTAAAATGTGGTAAACTTTTCTGAGGTCAGGGAGGCTTATTTTCTCATGCTCTTCATATGGAAATTCGGAAAGGTCCTGAATTACTTTTGAAGCATATTGGTGCCTTTGCTTGTCATTGACCAGTGTCTGAAGGGACTCATTCAACAGTTGGAACTGGGGAATAAATGCCAATATGCTGTCCATCTTCTCAGCACCACCACAGCAGGCCTCGGTCTTATTTTGCAGGACATTTAGAGTATCTTTCAGAACGTAGTTATCCTGAATGGAATCAACAGCATTGTTTAAAACGGTCATGGTCTTATTTAAGCCATCTTCTAGGTCCATGAGGCATTCATTAATACGGCTGTCAAAGACTTCATCTCGAGTCTGAGCCTCACTTTTAAGTCCCTCCTGGCTTTTGACAAGTTCTTTGACGGTGGAACTCAGACTATTAACAACAGTGGTTAGATTTTCCAATGTCCTGCTGATTGCTTCCACTTCAATTTGCTGTTCATACTCTGCTGTCAGACTAAACGGTGGTCCCTGCTCAATCAAGGGTTGGAGGATCTCCATATCATAACACAAATCATTAATTTGCTCATTCATTTTGTCCATCTTATTGTCCAATGGAAAGACAACAGCAGCTAGGGTTTTGTTTAAGAAATGCACATTCTCTTCTGTGCCCTTTAGCTTTGTTTGGAAATCATTCCTGCACTTTGACAATATGTCTTCACATTCTGTATGAACAGAATCTCTCTGAATCTCTAATGTAACAGTGAGGTTGCTGATCTTCATATCTTGTTCTCTTAAGTCGTCATGCAGCTGCAGCACCATTAGGCCATGTTTCTTCACTTTCTCATGTAGAGTGAGAATATATTCTGTAACATTATCATTCACTGCTGTATCTGTTGGAGGGACATTTTGGTCTGACATCCGTTCAGCTGATAACAGTTGCTCGTGGACCTCTTTCATTTCTGTAAGAGTCTTATTCAGAGATTCATAGTAAATGGTGCTTCTTGTCTGCTCATGCTCCAAGTCAACTTCCAAGGATTTCTGCTTTGCCTGTAGTTCTTTGATGGGCTTGTCATAAGCAAGGCTCATCTCCTCTTTCATCTGCACCAGATCATTCTTCAGCTCCAGGATTTCATTCTTCGTTGGCCTGTCTTCTTTCTCCTGGGCATACTTTTGTTGGGTCTCATTCAGCTGTTTGACTATTTCTTTTGTGCTCTCAAGATCCTCTGATAAACTAGACACAGTCTTGAAAATTTGGGCCACTGTCTCTTGTATGTCACTTTGGTAGACTTTAAACTGCTCTCTGATAAGGTCTTTGACTAGTTCATTGATACTTTTAGACTTGAGACCTAAAAAAAAAAAGGCAAAAAACAAATAACTAAATAGTCTTTTGTTTATAGACATCCAACATTCTTTCATTTAATGAGTACACACAGTGTGTTGTAAGGAACTGGAATGTAATCGTTGTCTCATTGTGATCTGCTTACTTATCAATTTAATTTAATATGGTAGTAATTGTTGGTGTTTGAGGACCCGATACTGTTCCCAGTGAAGTCAAATGGAGCTTTACTGATGATTTCAATAGGCTCAGAATCAGAGATTGAATGTATGGGATCAACGTTCATTTGCCTAGTCCCAAGAAGAGCAACAGAGAAGATAAGTGTGTTCTCTTGGCTTACTCTGAGAAAAAGGCTTATCCTGCCCCTCAACCACCATGTTTAGAAGATTAGGGGAGGAAATATCTGTTTTACCTTGGCTGTGTTGGGTCAGGAGGGGGAGAAATAAAGAAAATTAATTGTAGCCTTCCTGTCATACATGGAGAGTGAGTAGGTAAAAGGAGATGGGAGGGAAAAAGGGAATCGAGATGGAGGGGATGGATCCTTCTAATTTTGGTACTACCAACACTTTAGAACTTGTAGGCAGCAGCAGACCCATTGAAAAAGGCTGGGGCTCTGCAGGTCACACCTTTGCCTAGTTGTAGTGGCGCCTCTTGTACTTTCAATATAGTTCACATAAGTACCAATTCTAGAAGAAGCTATGCCCATGGAGTTAAACCATGGTGAAATTTGGCCGAAGGAAGAGCATACGTCATGCCTGACACATGGCTCTTCCTGGGTCTTTACGAGTAGTCAAATGTTTCCAAATGCCACAGATGCTTTTGGTTCTTGCCTCTATAACTTCTGAAAATTATTTGGGCTGCAATTAGGATTCAAAATAAAAATTGTTTCATTCAACAAGCCTGACTATATAGGAAGCTTCTTGTGGTAAGCATCTTGAATTGTGTGTGTATTTCCAGCTGGAAAAGTAGTGAGCCAAATTGGTAATAGCAGCTTTTTAGGACATAAGAACAGACCTGCTGTATACTGTGTCTGGTGAAATGACCGGTAAACACTTCAGATGCTTAGACAAAGAAGCTGTCACTTGTTCAGCAAGTGGCTTTTTTGAGCCAAGAGATATAATAGGGAGGAGGGGCAGTTGGTGCAAGAGCATGAAGAGATGCCGTTTAAGAAATGGCAGGGAGTTCTCCTGGCAATTCACACACTTATTTATTGTGTTCTAGGGTCACAGATGTTTGGGTGATTTTTACACATAGAATAATAGAGCAAAGGAAGAAAATTGGGCTGCCCCCTATTTTTTTACTTTTCACCCCTACAAACAAGCAGAGTTTATATATAGTACATTGGTGCTTAACTGCTGGGCACAACTCTGCTGCAGCAGGAAAGCAGCAAAGTTAGAGAAGATTGTAAGGAGGAAACCTGAGAATGAAAACCCAATGGGTGAAGAACTGAAGATGTGGTTTAAGACTAAAATAATTTACATACATAATGTGGTGTCTTCACCCAGGATTCAAAAAAGTTGCTTCATTTTGGAATATGTTCCGGATTTTTAAAAGAGTAATCAGAGGGCAGGGCAGGATCTTAATAGTTATGGAGAGGGACAAGGTACCCTTATCAGATCTCTTCAGCTAAGCAGCATCAAGTCTTGCTAATATTTGGATGGGAGACCACTTGAAAGAAAATCTGGGTGCTGTAGAAAGAGATGTTTGTTGGGGGCTATATTGTACCCTTACCTTCCTGGTCACTCAGTGCTCCACCTTAACTAAAAGCAACCTGCCTGCTGTGGAGCACAACACCCCTGCTTTTCAGATATTCCCCCATTATCAAGCAGATCGGCAAAATGCACAAGCCTAGGTTCTGCCCTCCCACTGCTGGGGGGCATGGATCAGCGTTCACATTGCATTCCCCGTCAGTACCCGTCCCAGGCTGGGGAAGCTAATGATCCAACCAGCGGACCAAATTTGGCGATGAATCCTGGTCACATGCCACATGAAGCTTATGGTACATATGCTAAGAAGACGACTGCTTGCAGACCAGGGTAGCCAGCCAGCTGCTACACAGGGAGAAATCTACATCCTTTCAGTGGCTGCAGTCACCTTTTTTTTGCCCTGGAGAGAGCAGGGCAGGAATTGTGCCTTCGCAGGGTTTTCGGTCTCTGAGTCACAGTCCCTCCCTCTTGGGGCTACTCCTTGGGTGGTGCAACTTGTATAGCCCCCTTGCTCAGGGCCGTGCCGAAAGCTGCAGGTTAGTTAATTTGTAAAACCAAGATCCCTGCTACTGGTGGTCAGTAAAGATCCCTGGCCATTTTAGCAAGATTACAGGTATTAATCCCAGTTTCCTGGCCAAATTCCAATTTGGGTACTTAATTACAGTCTGCATCTATAAATTCCCTTTGCAGTTTCAACTATTAATGAAGGAATAGCATGTATCATAGTGTACATGCAAAAGAGGGCAGAGTTAAGGTTTCATGTCCAATTGTAACTGGCATTTTTGACTTCTAATTGCTTAACTCTACAGTCAATTTAGTGTTTTAAATATAATATAAAGATACTGTTATAATAATGGAAGGATTCAATTTAAATATGTCAGAAGAGAAAAAAAGCAAATGGGAGAGCAAGAATGTAATTTGGGGGAGAAAATAGATATAAAACCTAGACAGAAAATAGAGGGAAAATGTTCAGAGAGAATAACTTGGGCATGAAGAAGGAAGGGAGGTCTGGTAATGCAGTGAAGAACCTACTGAAAAGGTCTTTCTATTCTTGGAGTATCTGATTCTCATTATAAAAATGCAAGGAACATGACAGACACCCTGGTGATTGGTGCCATTTGTGTAAGGTAGGACAGAAGTATCCAAGTATGCTCTCAGGTGCAAAGAGATGAAGACTTTGGCATATATGGTACTGTTAGTACACAGAATAGATCTCAACAAGCAGCCATTGTGGCCGAGCAAATAGAGCACTGTACTGGACACAAGAGACATGGGTTTGAATCCTGGCTCTACTGATACCTTGCTGGGTGACCTCAGGCAAGTCACTTGTGGCTCCGTTTCCCCATATGTAAATTGGGGGAAATGATACTGGCCTCTTTGATATGATAAAGTGCTTTGAGATCCACTGATTGAGAGCTAGGTACTGATATTACAAGTGTTGGGATAAGGAGGCAGAGGAAAAACATGTGGCGAGCACAGGAAAGGAGCAGAAGATCTCAATGGAAAGAAAGATTGGCTGTAACTGAAAGAGGACAAACTGAGTGGCATACAATCCTTATGGGCTCAGTAGTGCTGTACAAGCAAATCACTGCATTGGGGTGGTGCAGATCTACCCCAAGTCAGGGGAGCATTCAGTGCTCCTGGGAAACATGTGCTGCTGCTACACCTTTTCATGGGGTGCAGCATCCTATCCACTGTGCATCTGTCCTGCTCCTCAGGTCAGTGTGGAAGTGGTCTGAGGACATGGCCAATCTGGTATGCTGTTTGCCCCGGGGGAATATGGAGGGAGTAGTACTTGTGTACTGCAGAGTGCAGGAACTGCAATTATTCCTAGCCCTCATGAAGACAGCACCGGGGGGAGATGTGACCCTAGTTCCCTGTCTCCCCACAGTGCACCTGAATAAAGATCAGCAACAACCCGGGCCTGAGGTTTATAATTAGAGCTAATAAACGCAGTTGATGGCAGCACTTTCATCAGAGCAACTTGATTAGGAGATTGATTTATGTTGGTAATCTAACACAGAACTAGTAATGGGAGATTTCATCTAGCCAGGTAAAACATGGGACATGATAGGTAAAGGCAATAAAGGCTCAAAAACTGTAGACAGACATAGTATAAAAGCTGCTATTCTTATAATGTACATTCATAATTAGGTTTATAATGATTCCAAAATAGAGGTGGAAGGCATGGGCATGGGATTTCAGCAATGCACATCTTGGAAGAATGTGGAAATGCAGAAAGGAATAAAGAAATGCATAGAAAAGATGCAGAGGGGAAATGGGAAATGTTTGAAGACAAATTAAATGTATGCCCAAGAGTCAATAAATGTAGAAGTGAAAGCAGGCCAATATGAATGATAGAGACAATATAAATGTGATCAAGGGTAAAGGAGAGCCACACAGTATGTGGAGTATACAACTCTGGAGACAGAAGGATTGGAAATGTGAATTACATTTCATAGACTTAGAAAAGCAAAGGCATGTTGTTTATGCCTACAGTACCAGTTTCCTAAAATTATTCTCAGCCAATAGATAAAAAAACAAAGTAAGTAGTTGGGGGCAAATCCTGGGAAACTGAACAAAATGTTGCAGTTCTGAGGGAAGGAATTTTCGGCCCTGATGAGCTGAGGTATCTGTGCCGCTGGACCATAGTTATTACTACGGGGTATGCAAGGGAGTAGTCAATGTGTGTCATTGCTCCTCCTTGTTTTCTACAGGCGGATCCGCACTGACACATTGGCCATGCCCTTGCCACCTTCCCAAAATAGCTATTTTCTATTTTCTTGCCTATTTTAGGGGTCAGGGTTCATGTCATCTTTTAAAAAAAAACATAGAGGTCAAGAAAGAACTTGACTTAACTACAAATAGATAGCAAGGTTTCATAAAAGGGAGATCATGTCTAATAAATATTGCTTTGAGTTTTCCTCTGTTAATTGGATCCACTTACTCTTTGAGGTCATGAAGAATTATTTTCTATGGGTGAAATCCTGGCTGTACTGAAATCAGTGGGACTTTTGGCACTGACTTTAATGAGGCCAGGGTTCCACCCTTCATGTTTAATCTAATCTTTCCTTCGTTTTTTCCCTCTGGCTAAACTTGTCTCTACTGTGCTTATCACTGGGGCATCTGAGCACCGCATTGGCTATCTTTATCCTGTTACTTTCAGTCTTTCAGTTGTATTAGCAGTCCTAGATTCTTCCATTGTGAAAGCTCCTTTCTCTTAGGAAATCTCTCCTCCCCCTGGCATCCATCAGGATTACTGGGGAGAAAGGTATCCCCTGAATTCACATTCCTGAGGGGGCCTCTCCTTTATTTCCAGAGAAAACTGTCATGTTTTAGGATGCATGAGTTGGGATAATGTGAGATTCATAGAGTCCTGATGAATTGGACTTTAAAAAAAAAAAGTGTCACATCAGTGCTAAGTTTACTACTGTATAAAACACATTTACCTTTGATCTGTACATGATTTTCCCTTCAGAAGAATGTGCAGAGCCAATTAAGTGTCACTTAGGTGGAAATTTTCATAGCAGTGTAAAGAAATTTTACCTTACAATGCTATTGCTGCCAAAGGGAATTGTGCTAATCATTTATTATTTGTACTACAGTAGTGCCTAGAAACCCCTGTGTGGTGGATGCTGTATGAATATAGAGTAAGGGACAGTCCCAACCCTAAATGCTTATAAACTATATACCCCTAACACACCAAGAAATCTGTTATCTACAGCCAGGCACTCAGATACCACAGAATATGCTCCAAGGAGAAAGTCCAGGACATACACTTTAACAAACTTAAAACCCCCTTCACTAAACAAGGATACACCATGAGACAAGTAGATCATGTCCTGAAATGGACCACCCAACTACTCCAAGAGAACCTGGTTCAATACAGAAATAAAACCCCCTCCAACCGCACACCTCTAGTTATCACCTACCACCCTACACTGGAACCTGTATGGGTAACAAACAACACAACTCATACCCAATGTGGACCATATCCTGAAAGAAATCTTTCCTTAACCCCCCTCATCTGACCTTCAAACAACCCCCCAACTTCTCCAAGCTCATTATCAGAAACAAGCTGCCTAGAGACCAGGACACATCAACTCAAAGCAGCACCAGATCCTGCCAGAACAACAGATGCAAAACCTGCAGATATATCTCCACTGCTACAATGATCAATACCCCACACATCACACCTTTCAAGATTCATGGGTCCTACACATGCCTATTACAACGTGTGGTGTACCTCATCCAGTGCACTAAACGCCCCAATAACAACTATGTGGGTGAAACCAGACAATCGCTACGCTCTCAAATGAGCTCACACAGGAAAATAATAAAAGACCAAAACACCACATCACCTGTGGGTGAACACTTTTCAAAAAGCAATCACTCTATATCTGACCTATCAGTCCTCATCCTCAAAGGAAACCTGTGCAAACCTTCAAAAGATGAGCCTGGGAGCTTAAATTCATAACTTTGCTAGATACTCAAAATCATGGACTGCACACAGACACTGCGTTTATGCCTTATTACAATAATCTATAACCCATTTAAACTCTGCCCCCAGCTTTTGTTTTTTCCTTCCCCCCCTCCATGACTGGAAAGGTGTTAACGGTTCACTTCAACTTGAATAGTCCCTTGAAGTATGTTAACTTCTTATGTTAAGCAATCTGTTCCTATTTGTATCTAGCTGTGTCACTCTGGACACGTCTACACTGCAATTAAGCATCTGTAGCTGGCCCATGTCAGCAGACCTGGGCTTACGGGACTCAGGGCTACAGGGCTATTTAATTGCAGTGTAGATATTTGGGCTTGGGCTGGAGCCCTGATTCTGGGATCCTCCCCCTTTGCAGGGTCCCAGAGCCTGGGCAAGCCCAACATCTATACCACAATTAAACAGCCATGTAGTCCAAACCCTGTGAGCCTGAGTCAGCTGGCACAGGCCAGTTGCAGGTTTTTAATTGCAGTGTAGACATGTCCTCTGAGTACATTTCCTAGACCTGAAGAAGAGCTCTGTATACGCCTGATGGCTTGTCTCTCTCCCCAACAGAAGTTGGTCCAGTAAAACATATTACTTCACCCACCTTGTGTCTCTACAATCTAACAAGACAAGACAGACCAGAGAAGTATTATCCCCATTTTACAGATGGTGATCAGAGGCACAGGTATGTTAAGGTACATTGATTCGGTCAAACACTTAAGCAGGTGCTTGATTTGAAGCCAATGGGACTTAAGCACTAAAGGAGGGATTTAAGTGCAGCCTTAAGCGCTTTGATGAACTGGGGCCAAAGTGACTTGCCAAAGTCATACAAGAAGTATGTGGCAAAGCTGGGAATTAAACCCGGCTTTCTAACATCAGGGCTTGTCTTCACTGCTTTAAAAAAAGAAGAAGTGTTTTTCTACCTCACGGTAACTAAAGCACATGAGCTCCCCAAAATAAAATCCCTTTGTGACACTCCGCACCCCATATTCACCATCGTGATATGATTATGACATAGTCATGATGCATCTTGTACAAAATATGTCATGTGAGGTGTCAATGGAAAAGTTATGGTTTGCTGAATATGATTATCCTATTTGTATGCATGTATCATTTTTTGTATCAGGAGTTATGAATAGTGAAGCTGTATTTCAAATATACTTGCTCCTGGGTAACTCCCACAAGTCAGTTTACATCCAGTCTAGCCAACGCATTGTGAAGGAACTATTCTATATAAAACCGCATCAGCAAAAACAATGGGCCACGGGAAAAGCTTATCCTCACATGAGGAGTTTTCCTGTGTACGCTTCAGTCAATAAATGGGTAATGGCTGCTATGACTCATCGAAGCATGAAAGGGAAGATGACCAGATCATGTAATACTAAACTCCATCTTGTGCCTATATTTTTCCACAAACTGTGATGGGGATTTTGCTTGAAACGACGAAGTTCCCTCCACATGGAAAAAACTATAAAAGGGGAAGTGACATTACCACCTGGCTTCACTTCCCTTACAATTCAATACCTGGAAACACCGTAGGAACAAAGACTGAACTGGGGAAGGTGGTCCCAGGCAGGAAAGAAGGTAGCCCTGTCTGTGTATGGAAGATTGGTGGACTGTTTGTACCATCACGGCGAGACACTGCTTAATTCAAATCATGTCTAGGGTACAGAACTTAGATTGCAATTTTATTTATTTCTTAGGTAACCAAATTTGATCTGTACGCTATTACTTATAATCACTTAAAATCTATCTTTCTGTAGTTAATAAATGTGTTTTATATTTTTTACCTAAAACTGTGTGTTTTGCTAAAAGTGCTTGGGGAATCTGCTCAGGAACAAAAACTGGTGCATGTCCTCTCCACATTGAAGGAGGGGCAGACTGGGTAATAAACTTATACTGGTCAGGTTTTTGACGCGGACAAGATGGTACATCTCTGGGTCCTAAGCTGTGGAGCTTAGGGGCGAGGGGAGAGCTGGCTGGCGCCTCTCTATTGTTAGTTCATTAGTGCCTGAGGAGAAGCATTCATGTAACTGCAGCTGCGTGTGTCGCTGCCTATGTAAATGTTTGTGTGAGTGCAGAACCGGGAGCGGTCTGCAGTTTGTCACAGCCTCACAATGTGAGAGGGGGCCAGATTGATATGCCAGAGGGCTCAGCGGTAAACCCCGTTCCAGGTTGCACCCCAGGGAAGCTCATCACCCCCTTATCTTGGCCAAAGTCAGCCTTATAATCCCCATGTGGGGTTGACCTCAGTGAGTTTACCTCATGCTAAAACAGAAGTGCCTTGTCTTTGCTATGTTTTTACCTCAGGAGAGCTCTCTCAGTTAAAAAAAGTAAAAAAGCCACAGCTTTTTTTTTTTTTTAAAAAGCAGTGAAGACAAGCCCTCATTCCAATACCTTAGCCACAGCTATCCTTCTCCTTGGAGATATGGCTAAACCCTCACTTACCATTTAGAAAATTTTACTCTTTATCACAAAGGCAAATTTTTCAACAGAATGAATGCTGGATTGTAAACCAAACAACAATAAACCTCCTCAAAGGTTTGCCCAAAACTTGCGTGAAACATGTATTGCACACACATTATTCAGACTTCTCAGAAACAGAGCTAATCCCACCTCTCCAACAGCAAGCAAAATGGAGAAAGTGCAAAGGAAAGGAAATTTGCAGAATAGTGACTTGGTTTAACTTACCTTGGAGAGTACACAACATATTGTATTGATTATTTGTTATTATTAAAGAGACCAAAATAAAGGCCTTTTAAAAATTGTACTCTCAGAAGAAACAAAGAAAGAGTTCCCTCTACAAATATGGAATAATAATAGAGGTCAGCATAAGAACATTTTTCCTGGCACCTTTAACGGGGTGAGTGATTGCCTTAATTTCTTTCTTTCTTTTACCTTTTAGGAAAGACTGGAACTCTCTGCCCTTATCTTCATTGATTTTGCCTTCCAGAGAGGAGAGTGTCTTGCTCACATCACTCATGGTAGCAGAAATGTTGTCAACCTTCTTCTGTAGAAAAGTCAGTTTCATCTCCTGGCTGCTAATCTGTTCATTCATTTTTTGTGTAACTGCTTGGTGGAAGAATAGAGCAAAGAAGAAGCTTTATTAAATCACAGGGGAAAGAGGAAGTAGATTTTTTTTTTGAGAAACATTAGCTGAAAGTAGAATGCAAAGTTTCTGAGTTACAATTCGTGAGTGAGTTGTCTTAATTTTTGTCATATATCACATATTAGTGACATTCAGCAGCACAGCAGTAACTAATTACTGAAGCATCCCATATCCATTATCAAGTATTTATAATTCTAGAAGAGCTCTTTAATCTTAATCAGCATAATCCCAGTCTTCTCCCACCTACTACCCGGTGGAGGATTCTGTTACCACTCTCTCATTAATTCTTTGTCCCTTAATAGCATCACCAAGATATTTATTTTTACTTATCATTTACAAATCAATGAACACATGTAGTTTCAATGCTTCAGTCTAAAGAAGATATATCCATTTATGAGTGATAGGATCAAAAGAAGGACCCTCTAAACAGGGCAGCCAGATCCTACAAGAATGAGCACCAGAAAAAAAAATACAGGCTAGAACCATTATAGTTCTGACACTATCATTCGAAAAAGAGTAAATTGCCCAGTCTGGGAAGTTCAGTTATTAAAATATCAATCCAAATTGTCCCTCCTTGTGGTTGTAGTCTATTGAGATTAGTGGATGTCTGGTTCCCAGCTTTTAAATTAGCCAGTAGAGAAGTAAGGAACTGATCCTGCATTATTGGGGCTCCACGCATATGTCTGCATTGAACATCTTGCAGGAGTGAGTTTTAAGATTGGGATTTTCAAGAGCCTGGAGAGTTAAGCACTCAAAATATGAGGGAGTTGCTGTGCCCAACGCCCTTAGACTCCTTTGAAAATCCCACCTAAATGACAACGTTAAATATATAGATCAGGAGTGGCCAACCTGTGGCTCCGGAGCCACATGCGGCTCCTTGTATAGGCACCGCCTCCGGGGCTGGAGCTACAGGCACCAACTTTCCAATGTGCCAGGGGGTGCTCACTGCTCAACCTCTGGCTCTGCCACAGGCCCTGCCCCCACTCCATCCCTTCTCGCCCTCTCCCCTGAGCCTGCCATGCCCTCACTCCTCCCTCTCTCCCTCCGAGCCTCCTGCATGCCCTGAAACAGCTGATCAGGAGGTGCAGGGAGGAAGGGGGAGGCGCTGGGAGCAGAGGGGGGAAGAGAGGGGAGCTGATGGGGGGCTGCTGACATATTACTGTGGCTCTTTGGCAATGTACATTGGTAAATTCTGGCTCCTTCTCAGGCTCAGGTTGGCCACCCCGATATAGATAGATAAATACAGATATGTTTTCACTACCCCATATGGACCAAACCATATTTTGGCTTAATAAACCACCTTGCAATGGATCCATACAAATATTTATTAGTGGAGATCCATAGTATTAGTATTGATCTTGTGTCATTTCTCATTATGGCCTCAGTGTCTTTTTCCATGGCAGCAAATGGCCATAGTCACAAATATTGTGGAAGGGTGGAAGTATAAAGACCACACAAAGGAAGTAGCCTGCAAAGGGGAATTTTCTTTCAACTGTGCAGTAGTGTAATGGGACAACGATTCTTCAAAATTCTAGTTAGCAGACTTGGCATTTACACCATCTAGTTTAAAGTGTGGGTCTACGCTGAAAAGTGACTATTTGACACTGGCACTTTCTTATTTAACAGTTCTTCCTGTGGGTAATCTTAGGATATTCTTGTCAAGGGTATGTCTACAGTATGCATGGACATGAGGCTGCACAAGTATGGGTTTAAGTACAGGCCCTACAAGCCCGCACAGGCCCTGGGTTTACTCAGGTGACTAGCCTGCTCTGAAGCCTGTACTGCTATCACTACCTGAGCTAACTAGATAGCTTGGGTATGTCTGTGTGCTGCAATTACACCCTGGTTGCAGTGTAGATGTGTCTTTTATCAGCTACTGGCCTTACTGACATTAATAAGAGCGTTTGACTACTTTTCACTCCTGCTTACATTTCAGCAATGGGAAGGCAAGTTGAATTCAATTTTGGCTCATGCATAATTGAGAGAACTGTTAACTATATTACATCTGCAGATTCTCTCCTCAGTTATGTTTGTTGATCCTCCCCTTCGCTGCCCATTGTAGACAGCAGAATTGGATAAGCAATGGCAATGGTCTGCAGAAAATGGGGTTGAGCAGGTATAAGTGAGAACAGAATTTGGCACGCAGAATCGGTGTAACTGGTAATGAAGCAAGAGGCAGGAAGATTTGAGTGTCTTGTCCCAGGATGTGTTTGCAGGGCTGGCAGCCAGAGGAGACATCTTTTTACTGGTCAAATGCTATCTGTATAGAGTCACTTTTCAGAGTAGACTTGCACTGTAAGAATTTAGGAGTGAAATAAAATAGAGAAGAAGTGGTGTGCATTCATTTGCCCGACCAGGAAAGGCCCAAGGAGGGTTCCTCCAGCAAACAAAAAGAAATCATTTTACAAACACAGAACAAAAAGGGAACACCTTTGTCCCCACCCCCTTTCCTGAGGGGTTGTTGTCCTGCTGTGGGCCCCAGGGTGTCAATCCTTCTCCTAAACAGGCACTCAACTTTGGGAGTTCCCGCTGTAGGGAGGATTGCAGCTGCCACTAGCCCTGCAGCAGCTCATCTCCCCTTCCCCTTGCTAGCCAGAGGAGGGGACGTTTAAAGGTCTCCGACAGCCTAATTGGACTCAGGTGTCCCTAATTGACCTGAAGTAACCCTTCTCAGTTTATAGGAACAAGGACCTTTATCATTCTAGGCCGGGGTTAACATATCTGCCTTCCCTCACATTCTTGCAGCTGCCCAGCCTGACTTTGTCACCACAGGCTACAATGGAATTCATTGTCTGGAACATTTACGCTAATAAAACTCCAACATAAAATAGGAGTGGAAAATTAGTCCAAAAGGGAAGTGAGCATGGCCAAAGCATATGCATTCAACACTGTAAGAGAATACAATATGTGAGGGGGCCTTTCTTACGGTATCTAGCTTTATCAATATTAGATCCTCTCTGACTTTAGCTTACTGATTGTATAAAATTACTCATGTTACTGGTTGGGGTCTGACTTGGCTAGGCTCTGCCTACATGTGCATAACAAAGAGCCAATCCTTGCCCCAAAGTCCTCACAATCTAACTATGAAATGATAGACAACAGGTGGTTGCAACTAAGAGAAGGGAGGAACAGAGTAACAGAGAGACAATTATGATTAGCAACATAAGCTGGGGTCATATCACACTCTATTCAGAACAGAGCTGTAAAGTATTATTGGATAGCTTGCTTATGATTCCATTTGGGAAGATGACATTCAAGTTACACCAAACTCCTCTTGTCAAATGTTGAGCACTCTGGCAGTGAACTGGTTTAGAATAAACACATCAGTCCAATAAGAACATACGCAACAGAGAGGGCTAAATCCTCAGCTGGTGTAAATCAGCGTAACTCTCCTTTCTTCTGCGATGCAGTGCTAAGCTATGCTGCCTGTGGATCTGGATTAGATATGTCTATTTTTAATAGCGGCATTGTGGCCAGTAACACAGTGGGTTTTGGTTTTATTTTGCAGACTGACTCTCTTAGTTGCATGCTCTGAGACACACTGACCCAGCAGATTCAGTTCCCTCCCCTCACTCCTCTCAGAGTAGCACCACCAGTGGAACAGGTCTGCAAGAGAATCTGATGCTTCATCCCAGAGCTTTTGGCAGCTGGGACTGTCTTTTGTAGTAGCTTTAATAAATAGTGTTGACAATGATTGTGTTAGAGATGACAGTAATTGCTACTACTGACCTGGGTCATTGGGGTCCTGCTGGTTTCCCCCTGTTTCCGCATTGATAGCTGTGTTGCTCTCAGCTTGGTTGCTATGTATAAGCAATTGATGTTGTTGGTCTAAAAGGGGGAGGGAGGGAAGAAAGGAGGTAAGCAAAACATTCAGCATGACTACTTTATCCAGTACTCAGCAATATTGGTACTGCTCTTCAGTTCTCCATTCTCTCTCTTCCAAAACCTAATTGTCTGTGGTGATTCCTGGGTAGCAGTTTAGCCCATCTGTAAACACATGTGGACCACTGGTGAAGACACTGACTGGATTTAATTCTGACCAGAGAAGATTATAAATGTCTCATTGATGTTGCAATTTATTGTGATTTGTAGAAGTTGGTGCTAATACAAGTTTAAACCTCCCCTATAATTAGGAACATTTAGAAATCTGGATTAAATTTAGAGTAGAGGCTTTAAGATAGATATAAAACAAAACTAATATATAAAAATATCTCATGTCTTTGCCTGATGGCTAACTAAAGACATTTTCAGCTGGTGTCCAACAAAGAATAGAGAATGGCTTTTTGCTTATTGAAAATCAAACATATTAAAAAAACAGAACTGTATAAACAATACATTTTGTGAGCATCAAACTAAGTACAGAAAGGTAATGAAAGTCACCTTAACTGAATACTGAAAGCAGCATAGTCTAGTGATAGGGATTTGGTACTCACATCTGACTTGACCGGTGACCTTCATATAGTTTCTCTGTGCCTCAGTTTCCCTAGATATGATTGGGGGTTATCTGTGCTTTACCACTACAAGTATTTTGAGAGCAGCAGATAAAAAGTGCCACATAAATGACAGGCATCATTATAATTTATAAGTGAATAACAGAGCTAATTATATACACTTTTACCAAGAGTTAAGCTACAAAAGAAATAAGAGATTTGCCTGAGCTGCAAAGTAAAGATTCATGTTTGGATCTGAACTTTCCCTCAACTGCAGGACAAGAGGAGGGAGATTTGAGATGAAGGCTTTTATGTGCTGCAGCTCCTCTCTAAATGGAAATAACTTTTTTTGTGTGAAGAGAATGGCGATATTAAAGTATTGCAGGGCATTCTTCTATAAATCAACCACAATATTTAATAAAATAACTCCTTATCTATATAAAGAGGATATTTTCTAAAAGAAGGAAAACAGTTGTGTAATCATGTATTTAAAACACAGTTGCTGTTATATTGGTTTCCTTAGAACAAGCAGTATTTATGGTAGGATTTTCAAATGTGTAGGGGAGCTCAAAACTTCAAGTGAATGGAAGCTAAAACAGAAACTTTCTTAAGATTAAGAAAAGATTCAGATAAGTGGTTCCCTCCCCCCATTTTTCTTCTCTTTGTATCAGTATATCTGTTGGGCTGGCTGCTTTCTTTAGATCTCAGGTGTTATGAGACTTCGTGAGGGCCACGGGGTAGGTAAGAGAAACCTGAGAAGCAGGTTTCAGAGTGGTAGCTGTGTTAGTCTGTATCAGCAAAAAGAATGAGGAGTCCTTGTGGCACCTTAGAGACTAACAAATGTATTTGAGCATAAGCTTTCGTGGCTAAAACCCTCTTCATCAGATGCATGCAGTAGAAAATACAGTAGGAAGACAGCAGGGCAAGATACCTGCAACTCTCCCTCTGGCAGAGGGCCCTATCACCAATGGAAATTCAAAGTGTGAAGCCAGCGCCGGCTTTAGGCCGATTCCCCGGAATCGGGCCCCGCGCCTAAGAGGGTCCTGCGCGTTAGGCACACCTGGCGGTGGTCCGCTCCGGCGGCATTTCGGCAGCGGGGGGTCCACTCTGGGGTCTTCGGTGGCATTTCGGACCGTGGAATCGGGCCCCGCAGGTCCTAAAGCTGGCCCTGTATGAAGCACTACTGGGGTGGAGAAGAATGATCATGGAATGTGCCGATTCAGCACATACACTGGGCAACCTTTGCTGGTACAATTCCTAATGACCCCAACTGTTATTTAAAGCTCATCTCTCCCTCCAGAACCCCTGATACAGCTTGCCAAAGCAAACACTCTCTAATCTCCTCAGGGGTGAACCCAAACTGACTAGGGATGAATCTAGCCCAATTCATTCAGGGGCTCATCTAACTCAGGCAAGACATGGAGATTGCTATATATGTGGGTAGTATTTGGCCAGAATTCAAAGGAATATTTAGCCTAGAGATCTCTACACCCTAGAATAGCATTCAAACTCCTTGGGCTCAGGGAGGAGGAGTTAAGAGTCAGGCTAAAGGGAAGGTGAGGACAGGGGAAGGATCTATTTGGAGTGAGAGAAGAAAGGCAGAGGCAAGATGGAAAAGAGCAGAGACGGAGACCTGAAAAGGTTCAGATAAATTCAAATATCCAAATTTTGTAGGAATTGTCTGAACCTTTTGAAGCTTGCCCATTATTCGTATAATAATCAATACATACTTTGCACTTCATAACAAGGGGTCCTGTATGGACCTTCATGGAGATTCAGAGCTATCCTGGTGCCACTCTTTGGCAACCAGACCTAGCGTGACCAGATGTCCCGATTTTATAGGGACAGTCCTGATATTTGGGGCTTTTTCTTATATAGGCTCCTATTACCACCCCCACCCTCTGTCCCAATTTTTCACACTTGCTATCTGGTCACCCTAACCAGACCAGATGGGTCCTATAAGTTCCAAACTTAGAATATTAAGGTATTTGAGTGTGTCTGTAATGTAAAGAGAACTAGTGGCAGGGACAATGAGGTTCTGCAAGGAAAAACTCAAAACAGCCATGCAGAGGAGGAAGCTTAGACCGAAGTTGATATTGATTGGTATTTAAATGAACAATAAAGGCAAATCCAAGAAAGGTTGTAAGTTTGGAAAACATCCACTATCTCTATTGGCAGCTGGGTGGGAACTCCATCCATTTATGCACGTTTGTGGCACTTTTTACATGAGGATCTCAAAGCATTTTATACAAGTAGGCAAATTGTATTATTCTCATTTTACAGGATGGGAAACAAAGTCTCAGAAAAGGTAATTGTCTTGCCTGTGTCAAACAGGGAGCCACTGGCAGAGTCAAGAATAGAACCAAAGTTTCCTCCCTCCCAGACCACTGCTCTAACCACTAGACAATGTTGTCTCTCTTATGCCTATCTTATTATTGAAATCAATAGGACGGTTTGCAGTGTAAAGTACTACTTACACTGAGTAGGGGTGGCCAAAATAGACACTACACATTTACTAAGTGTGCAAAATATTTCATAAAGAACTTGGCTCTAGTTGGAAGGTTATGGACAGGAGCAAGTGATAATTTAGTTGACAGGATTTCTGACCCCAGATACAGTACAAGTAGAAAAGGCTAGGTTTAGGGAGACTATTTTTAGGTAAAGAACTAAAATCTAGTTTGGTCCTAACCTGACTCTCCAAGGTAACTGAATGGAATGAAGTATATATATACATTTCCCTACATTCCGTCAGCCTCATAACAATATTTATGGTAATCAATCAATGACATTTAAGGAAGATACAAGGAGCTGTATTATGGGGTAAGTGAATATGGGAAATATCAATTAGCTACTGAACAGGTGCTCATTACATCAAATTATCACCTGGACTGTTCCATGGAACCCATTGGAACTGCAATCACGCTGGGTAATAAATTGAAAGGTCTGATTACGGTGGAGTCAGTTACTCGCCTGTAATAAAGGACCAGCTGATCGACGTCCTTTTATTCTTTCATTTACCAATCTTTCTGTCTTTCCAAATGTATTCACTAGCACCCTTACTGCTAAAGACACCAGATTTTTCAAGCAATCTTATCTTTCATCTCCCCCCCGCCCATCAAATCAAGCAGCTTATTCACTGCTTCAGACAGGTTGCACATTCCTGATCCTTATAGTCCTTTCTATTCATGTTTATAGTTTCAAGGAATTATATTTCTCCTTTCATGTTTATTTCACTAATGTTTTAAATTGTCTAGTTAATTTAATGCCTGCGAGAACGGGAACATGGGAATTGCCATACTGCATCAGACTAGTGGCCCCTCTAGTCCTGTATCCTGTCTCCTACTGTAGCCAGGACAAACTGCTTCTGGGTTTTCTTGTGCTTTCCTCTGAGTGACCAATTATGGAATAACCTGCCCATATGGGAAAGGTACAAGATGGACCACTTTAGAAATTCGGGTCCTTTATCCACAAAAAAGGTCCAGAACAGTCAGCACTGCAGCAACATGACTTGTCTCACCTCATCCCGCTAACACGTCTCAGTCCTGTTCTGAAGGAACCATCTGGAGAGATAAGATGGTAGTTGAATCCCTATGCTTATCTATTCATTGGACACAAGGATGTCCTAACAAGGATGAAAGTAGTGCCAGCTGTAATGTGAGCACTGGACTGAAATCATTAAATTTGTTTCCCATAGGCCAGCAAACAGTCACCAAATGGCAAAAACTTTTGCTTTCTACCCACATCTTTTGCTTCCCATGTAATTGGGAGAATTGGCCACAAGTCTAAGGCTAGATTTCTCAGCCAGTCTGGCCATCAATTTTGTGCACAAGAAGTGTAGAGGTCTAAATGAAGAAATTGCACATATGGAATTTGAGGCTGCCTTTTAAAAGTTTCACCCACAATGTTAAATTTAGGCCAAGATTTTCAAAAATACAAGACTGAAGTTAGGTTCTTAAACCCTAGGGTGACCAGACAGCAAGTGTAAAAAATCAGGTCGGGGGTGAGGGATGATAGGTGCCTATATACGAAAAAGCCCCCAAAATCAGGACTGTCCGTGTAAAATCAGGACATCTGGTCACCCTATTAAATCCACTCGAAGGCATAATAAATAAAACAACTGCCCGTTATTTAAAAGTGCTGAGCAACCAGCAGCACCTGTTGGGCACTCAGCACTTCTGAAAAATTAGGTCACCTATTCAGGAGCCCAACATCAGACTCCTATCTTTGCAAATCTTGGGCTAGATATGTAATATATTGCCCCATGTATTTTTAAATACATATATGCATGAAATGATTTTCAGGAAGTATTAAAATATGGAAATTAGATCATCTTTTTCTCTGAATATATTTTTGATGTAGCAGGAGCAGCTAAAGGGGAATCACTGTGGGGAGTTTCTGAGTTTCATTACAAAAATCCTCCCCATCCCTATTATAATCCTTCTGACAGTTCTGTGCTTAAATTTGAATTGCTGCCCTTTGTGTCTTTTACACTACGTTGTGGATTGCTTGCTTCTGTTCAGAACATTTTAGAGCCATCTACTGGAAAAAGTGTATTATTGCAGACATATTTAGAGTTAACAATAGTTACTGTACTCTCTCCGCAATTCTGAGAATATTGTGTGTTCTAAGCCGCAGCCAGCACAGATGAAATAAATCGGGGGGAAGGGAGACGGAATTTAATCCATGCACTTAAAATCAACTTACTGCCTTTCATTGCAATACTGCATTTGGATGCAACCTGACCTACATTCATGAGGGTGCAGTTTTCCCTTTCCAGAAATGTTTTGTGGTGCATAATGCACTGTATGTAAGCAGAGCTGAGCAAAAATCAGAACTCCTATCCTGTGAGGAAATTCCAATATTTCAACATTTGTTTTCATCACATATTGGGACGAAAAGGTGATAATTTTATTTTATTTATTTATTTTGCAGAACAAAATGTTACAAAACATTTTGATTTGGATGTGGTGAAACATTTTGTTTTGGCATTCTTGATTAAAAAAAAAAAATTTCAATATTCCCCTACCAAAACATTTTGTTTTGAACTGACCGTAAACGTTTCATTTCAAGTCAATTCAGCATTAAATGACGCTTTCCTACGGTGCTACATTGCTTCATTAGAGTTATAATTCTGAAACCTTATGACCTTGTTCATTCTTCCTTATGGGTCAGGCTCTGTGACTGGACTACATCTTCCATGATGCACTCATAGTCACAGGACTCCCATAAATGCATCAGGCAGCCACAGTTCTACTGTGTAGAGAGGGCAAGGTCAGGAGAGGCCACATAGACCACTCAGCTCTGTGTGAGACAGAACAGTGTGTACATAGTCGTTCTCTCTGCAGCTGTGTAAAAGGGAGGCCCGGGGACATGGCCATTGGCTCACCACTCTGCAAATTCACTTGCCGAAAGCCCTACTTGTGAGGTGGGTGTCAGTGGCTTTGGAGTGGTTGGGTAGGATTCTGGAGACAGAAAAGAGGAATACTTTGTTCTTACATAACACTTTTAATCCAAGGCCAGCCCTTCAGGTGCTTTACAAGCATTCATTAATTAAGCTTCTCTATGTCCTGGTGAGATGTCCCATCCCATTTTTCTAGCTGGGCAAACTGAGACGTGGAGTGGTTAAGTGACTTTCCCAGGTCACAGAGCGAGTTAGTGGAAGATTTGGGAGTAGAAGCCAGGAGTTCTGACTCTAGGTCACCATCTGTAACCCGACACAACTCCCCTTTCTATTTTTCTACACTAATATATAATGAATTGGGGTATAAACCTCGTTTCCCATATTACCTTGATGCTGGACCAGTTACTTTGATTGTACTCTGCCTCGTTCTTAAGCTTTCATTTTTTTAAATCTGTTTTTGTCAATGTTTTGTATTTTTTAAAAAAAGTCAACCCTGGAAATGTCAAACGGAGTTTTGGATATAAATCATGGTGACGGATCGCGCCACATTAGAGCCTGACCCAATGCTCACTAGCTTTCAATACTGTACGAGAGACTTCCCTGACTGCTGGGGTCCGAGCTCTTCGACATTTCCCTCTCCTAGGTGGGGATGGCTGTGGCTTCTCTACATTCCTCTACATTAATTTTTAATCACAGCCTCTATTCTACCACTGTTGATGGAATTCCCTACCACATCTAATAGCCTTTCTTGTAATATTCATTCTTTTAAAATATGTATGCTAATGCCATATCTTATTTTTCAAGGGCAGTTTGTTTAAGGCCAGGAGCAAAGTAGTAGCAGTTATACAGATGTTAAATGACAGCACATTGCCATATGTTTGATCACCAGGGCAATGGTAAACGCTACATGCTTTGTATTAAAAAGGCACAGTTATACGTAGGCCATGTATAATATCCGGTGTGGCTTTTTGTAAAAGTCAGTCAGCAGGTCCAATCCTGCTACCATTGAAATCAGTAACAATTTTTCTATTGACTTCAGTGGTAAAATGGTTCGGGCACATTATCTTATCTACTGGCTGAAATATATTCCAAGTGGCTGAATCTGAAAAGGCAAAGGGGTCAGCCTACTATAGGTCGATTAATTTTACAGTAGGTACTCAGTGGAAGACCTTGATTTAATATCCCCGAGACTGCAATTCTGTACGCCCTCTCTGCCCCCCAAAAAGGTCAGACAGAAGTAGTGAAGCATTTAATACAGATTCCAGGTTGCTGCACAATAGAATCAGAATCAAGAGTTCATGAGTTTTATTTATTTAGGGAAGAGGTAGGGGAGGTAATTTCTCTCTCCCTCTCAATAATGTGGCATGAACAGTAAAAACTGAAAGCAGGGACAGTAAATAAATGTTGCCAATATTTTTGGCCCAATCTGCACTTTTCTGATTTTAATGGATTTCATTCTGTGAGGAAAAGATCTGAACTAGACTGATTTTCATCTGGGACTTTTGCTCTTGAATCAGGTTGCCTTTTCTTTCTTTAAACTGAATTGGATTCATATCAATACAACTCTGACACACCTTTGGGTTGACACTTTTCTCCACTGTACCCAGGACAGCACTTCCACTCCAGTGATGTTACAATTTTATGTTTGATTCTGTAGGCTTGGCGGATCATCGTCTGGGATCTGGAGATCAAGAAGATATTGGAAATCAAATGTTACGAGTGTCTCAGAAGATTGAATATGATGTTGAATATGATATGATCTATCATAAATAAATAGATAGATAAATCTGCAATCAGCACATTACACTGCACATTTCACCTATGAATTTTTTTACAACTACTTTGGAATGAAAGGAATTAAAAAATCCCAACAACAAAAACCAAAACCAAAAAACCCTTCATATATTTTCAATACTAACTACTGATTCTGGGTGCCCAGCTTCAGACATCTTAAAGGGGCCTGATTTTCAGATGATGGTCAACTCAGTGCTTTCTTTAAAAAAATCAGCCCCCTTTATGGTATTTTAGATTGGGCACCTAAACATTCAGAAGCTCTGGTCCCTCACGGAATTGACTTAAGGTGGAAAACCTTGTGGAGCGGGGAAGAGACGGAAGCTTCAGAGGGCTCTTGGTGAAGAACTGAGGGAGGATGGGAAGAGAGAACCCAAGAGCCAATCGGAAAGTCAAATGAAGGCAGATATAGCTGTGTAACTGTGCTGCCTCCATTTGAAGTGTACTGCACCTTTATAATGAGGAACTTTGCCTGAGTGCAGAGAAAGTAGCCATTTTGTTCTTAGAGTTGCTTGGCCCATCAGAGAGACAGCACACACATGCCACAATTGCTCTTGGGCATTTGGTCTTTCTTGTTTCTTTCCCCCTTAATTTCATACAAGAATCAGTCTAGACTGGAAGCTAGTGTGTGTTTATATATATATATAAAAAAAATCTCCTCTGCCCCTTTTAACATTCTAAATATAAACCCCAAACACAAGCAGTGATAAAAAATGCTACTGGCTACTAGACACTGTCCCCAATGAGAGGGCTAAAGTTACAAAGTTCAGGAGCTCAGAAGGTAGCTGCCACAGAATTCTTCAGTCCTTTTATAACAGCACAATTCCAATCTAAAGGACTGCTGGAAAAGGGCAAACTTGGAGATTAAATCCACCAGGTTTGTGTCAGAAAACATCCTCCCAGTGAACTCTAAAATACTATTTTGTTTTACTCTACAGTTAATCTCAACACCATCTCACAACGGATAGTCTTATATCATCTACTTTTCTGCAGCTGCCAGAAGCTCTCCCTTTGTCCCCCACATGGCTGAGCTCTGACTAGAAGAGTAAGACTGTGTGCAATACTTACTTACACAACCAGCCTAAAGAGCTTATTTTCCTACAAAGTCAGATTATTTTTGCATGCTGAAATTTTTGAATTAATAAAAAAAAAAAAACCTTAAAAGAGACAATGTTACAACTGCAAGATTCATCTCATGCACAGTGTATTAGTAACACATGTTATGGCCTTCCCTGGAGCCACTTAAAGCATTCCTAAAATGCGGAGAGTAATTTACATGCTGTAGATAGGCAGTAGCAAAACCACAGGCAGACTCCAGCACGTGATGTTTATACAGTACAAGAGAATGCTATAGCCAAGTGGTCAGAGCCACAGACCGAGAGCCAATAAGTCCTACCTTCTGATTAGAACAACTCAGACACGCTTAGGAGATTTCTCCCTTGGCACACCCCAAGTAGCAGTGGAGTGTACTAGGGAAACCACCAAAGCACACACCAGGCCAAATTCAGATGGACTCTGGAAATAAAACTTTTTAAGCACAGGCAATTAGTCTTGGATGGAGGTTATCACAGACAAGAAAAGAAGGAGCTGAAGGCGAGATGAAGGACAGCAGTGCCAAACTTCAATCTACTCCTAACCTAAACTTGAATCCTGTCCTCTGTACACAATCCTACCACCAAGTGGACAATGCATGAAAAAGTCCAGTCCAAATAGAGGGACTGGAAAATAAAGCTGGTAAAAAAAAATACCAAATTATGAAAATTTTCAATAAAACAAAAGACAAATGTTTTGCAAACATTTCATCCCATCCCCCCAACCCTGCCCAAGCTCTACTAGCAGGTTATTGAAAACTAATGTTTGTAGAATCCAGTGAGGCAATCCAACTATAGCCACATCAGTTGGAATACACAATATGAATATGCTTAGCACAGTGAGTGGGTTCTAATCAGTAAAGTACACCCAGGGCTCAGTCTTCAGCCAACTCCAGTTGCAACATGTGTGACTGAGATAGTTTTTTGAATTCTCTTTTTCATAGAATGTTCCAGACCTTAAAGGTGCAATGACAGCACAATCATCATGGTTCTCAAATTGCCTTATGCCACACAAATAATCAACTCCCCCACTTGGGTACGACAGTGAAACTTCTGTTGCCTTCCGTAGGAGTTATAATTGCTCACTTCAGATTTGAATTTGATCCCTACAGAACAGGTGTAAGTTACACAAGTTTTGCACATCCACCAAATACCAACTCCATTCCTGTAACACTGCTTTGCTAACCCTATGTACACCCGTTTTCTGGCAATATTACAGCTCCATCTGGCCCACTGCCTTCAGACCACATGCTGCCCACACCATTTGTGTGGGGAAGGCCTCGTGATTGTGGGGAATCTGTGGGTGTGGGGAGCTTGAAAGGAAGCTGTGCGTGGGAGGCTCTGACCGCATAGGTGCTTTAGAGCTCTGCTCTCACGTGCCTTTTTTCAAAACAACCTGGGAGGGCATGGGGGGGAGGGGTGGGGATCAGACAGCAGCCCTACTTCCAGTCATCTATAGAAGGCTCTGTACTGGCAGAGGGAGCACCACATTGAGGGACTGCAAGTGCCTCAGCTGCTTCTAGTATAAGAGTGTCTGCATCAAGTCAGTCAGTCATTCCCTGGCAGGGATTCCTTTCCTCCATGGGACCTCTTAGAACTTCGACACAAAACCTGTTTACCCTGACTGGTAAAGGGCCAGTATTTGGTCCTTGGTACAGTAGCTGAATAGCAATTTGCACCGAGTTACCTACTATGTTTTGCTTCAGAACTTTACATCGATATGATCAAAGAATCATACAAGATGCTTGTCCCTCCATATTTGGCTTAGGGCTATAAGCAGGATGGATTGAATTGCTATTTTTCATTCAAAGTAATAGCAGGTTACCTGCTCATTCATAATTAAAGTGCATGCAAATGCTATTTCTGCAAAGGATTACGCACCTCACACTACAGGCTCCAGTAGTCCAGGTACACGGCTTCGCTTTGCCTGATGTCAAGGTTTCCATGTTGTCCACTACGACGGTAGGTGAGAGTCTAGTGTGGACATAAGCACACCAGTTCCTGTATAAGAAAGAAGGAAACAGCTTAATTGATTTTTAAATCAAAACTGTAATATCCAAATAACATTTCCCCAAATATGATGGGAACATGATCCTTCAAGAGGAAGGATGGCCTTGTGATTAAGGAGGGGACTGGGATACAGGAGATCTGGGTACAGCACCAAGCTCTGTCATAGATTTCCATGCGATCTTGGGCAACCCATTTCATCCCTCGGTGCCTCAACTCCCCATCAGTAAAATGGGGATAATAATTCCTTTGTACCCCTCTGTAAATTTTAGGGCATGCACTGTTGTTTACTAAATGCTTGTAGAGCATCTAGTATAAAGGGATCCTAATATCAGTTGAGGCCTTTAGGTACTACAGGAACACAAACAAATAACACTAACAGTATACTTCAGCAGGCATTTTCTAGCTTTGAGGCCATAGAAACTTGTTCTCTAGGATTCACAGAAGTGGGTCCTAGAGTTTCAGCATCCACACCTCTATCAGTATTTCTATTTCATTGATAGGTTTTCACGCCCCACATTTTTAACCAGTTCTAATATTTACCCACTTTGTGTAGTGCTTTGAGAGCCTTACAGGAAAAGGAACTATGAGCACCAAGCATATGGTGGGTACTGCTGAGCCCAACTGCACTTGTGACTGCTGGACTAGAGATTTTACATCCACAGAAACTGCTCTCTCCACACTCAGCAGCACTCATGTACATCACGTTCTGGGGCACCCACACAAAGCCCATATTATATAATTATTGAAGAATGTGCTCCATATAAGAGCTGTTGTGTAGTTTCTTTGATCTTGTTTCTCTTACTCATTGTATGTTTCTTTCGGGGTTTACATCAGGAAAAACATGTCTTTTTAACTGGGGGTGTAAAAACACTGTGCTGTCGTATGAGGCTCTGTTTATATTCTCTTTCCTATGGCTGGACTCGTAGCTTCATTCTTTTGTGTCCATTTGCAAACTGCATCAATAAATATTTGGAAAACATAAATGCAGCCTCCAACAGTAAACGTAAAGATCAGATTCTTCTCTCACGTAGAGGGTAAATCAGGAGTAATTCTTTCGACGTGTATGGAGTTACACTCATGCAAAACTGGTGTAAGTAAATGGAGAACCAAACACTATAGTTATAGCGGAGAGATCATAAAATCACTTACAACCACCACATGATCGTATGGGACATAAAAGTCCACCAATGGGGTGAGGAAACAAGGAAACTTCAAAAATTATCATAGTTATTCAGAATAAAAATGACATGTTTGCTAGCTCCCTATCCTGTGTTATGCAGGTGAGTTAGGTAAGGGGAGAAAAAGGCACAGGTAGCCCCTTCCACCCCAGGACACTTATGCAGCAGTAGGAAAAGATATGCTCCTAGCAGTCTCTTGCTATTGAGTAGTAGGAATAAGTTCTGGCTATAGCACCTGCTGGTGCTCTATAATCCTAAGGGAACACTGCCTTTTGTGCATGGACGTGGCCATGCCTCTTGCCCTCCTGTGCATATGGTGTGGCTGGCAACACATGCTAATGTGTTGCAGGTTACACCCATTTAGAATGTCAATCCTCAGCGTGCACCCCTCCAGCATCTGAACCCCAACCCTTGCACCCGGTATAGCTCAGGTGAGGATTCTGCATGGATAACAATGAGATCAGAGATAGTTCCACCTTTGTACCGTGCGTCAAAGATAAGGACTAAGTCTCCCATCATAGATGTGGGGTGAGTATTATCTCCTTTTTATAGATATGGAATACAAGACTGGACCAAAGTGAGCCATGGTATACAGAGGTGGAGCTCCTATTGAAGCCAGTTGTTTATGCTCAAGCTGAATTTGGTACGTGGCTTATAATTTTATGTGCCCCACCTATGACATGGAGAGCTTGATTTGCAGTAGTACTGAGTATCCTCAATTTCAACTGTTGCAGATATTCAGAATGTCAGAAAAATCATGCCTCTGAATTTCTAAAGCTGGCCACCCAGCAACTGAGGCACTCAAAATTAGAGGCAAAAATTTAAAATGGGGTCTGAAATAACGCACTCAAAGCTACAGGGAGCCAGTGGCAAGGTTAGAATTTAAGAATTCCTGGTTCCCACACCTGTGCTCTAACTGCTAGATCACACTTCTCCCCACAGAAATAAATTAACTAAGATAAATCTGGTAGCCCTCTTTTAAAATTAGATGCTTTACACTTGAACAAAGGACAAAATGGAAAAAGAAAAAAAAAAGCAGCCACATTAAAGGCCTGAAACACAGAGAGCGTTTACTTTTCAGAAACGTAGCCTACTTTTTAAGATTCATAGTGCAAATCCACTAATTATCATAATTAGTGAGAGTGGACGAGTTATTGGAACTTGCACACATAGTTGTTGCTAGAAGCATTCAATGGGGGACGGGAGAGGAAGCAGCCAAGCCCACTCCAAAATATTGGCTAAGCATTGTTTTGTTTAAAAAAAAAAAAAAAAGTCAACATAAATCTCTGATCTCTGTAAAAAATGAACTCTAGTGTTACCTGCAAAAAGCATTTGTATTTAAAATGGTTACACTGATTTCAAGCTACATCAGGGCAACGGCTGAAGTGGTTCTCTCATAGCCTAGCAATCTTTGATCAGCCTAAATTGGAGGAAGGATGGATGGTAAAAGAGCCCCTGGTGAGACTCATAATTAGGTTTGTGCTACCAATGAAATAAGCTCATTAAGTGATGTTGAAAATGTAAATATAATTTTGAAACCAAATAGTCTGAAAAAAAATGTAGGTTTAAAAATAGAAAATGAAGCATGACGGAAGGATGATGACGGGGTGTGTAAAGGCAAAGGCAGCCACTCAAAACAACTGTTTTGCATAAAGGGAATTTAAACCTGAAAATCCCCTTTACCTTTCATGGAATAATTTATTCCAGACTGGAAATACTGACTTCTAAATCTGTGGACTTTGTCACAACCTGCAGTTGCTATTGCGCTCCTTTTGCACTGACAGATTTGATTTGTGAAACATTGTATTTAAAAGAACAAAAACAACTGCATTGGTAGTAAGAGTGGAAGATCCCCGGGTGACATAAAGCCTGTGTAGCAGCTTTTCACAATCCTTTTGCAGCTCCCAGCATGGGGAGTGGCGCGGGGAAATGATTGCTGGAAAGAGGCTGCAGTAAGAATACCTCTACACTCCCACTGTTCCTAGCTGCTAGAGAACACCCTTTTGGCAGGGCCAAATTTAGGATAGTGTTTGGGTGTAAAGCCAACTTTGCTCCACAGCCATTGAGTTCTGCACCAAGTGCCTCATGGCTAGATCTGAGAATCTGAGCCATATTAAGTAGTGACAAGGACATTTGCCTGGATAGCGATAAAGGATCAAATTATGGTGCACTGCAGATGAAAGAATGCAGAAAGCCTTCTCCTCTCTCCCCAATGCTCCAATATAAAAAGCAGCCATGCTGGTGGCTGGGCTGTCCCATGCCCCGGAGGGTGCATGCCAGGGGAGTTTGGGGTTGTTGAGGGAATTCATGCTGCACGTATAGGAAAGGTTAGCAAGCATCACTCCCACCGGCACCAATGCAAGCATTATGGAGACTCAGGGTCCAATTCTCCTGCCAATGCAAGATAAGAAGCCAATGTAAATAATTCTCATGTTGTAGGTCTTGGGAGCGGGACTAATCAGGCCTATGAAGCGTCCAGTCCCCACCTCTCATGCACCACGCACATTGCCATGCTCTAGCATATATTCACTAATAATGCATTTTCCTCCTCAATAGGCAGAAAGTATTAAGCTAACTGCAGGGTAGGGATGCTTACCCATTTGTAGCTGACTGAGCCATGTCAGAGTGAATTGTAATAAACTCATGATATCAGGGTGTGGATGGAGCAGGAGTATGAGCAGCATTTTTGAACTTCAAAATGATCTAATCCCCAGAAAAATGCTCTCTCTGTCTGTGGAGTAAGAACAAGTAGCATACGAACCCTGAGCTGTGGTGCAGCCTTAGCACATGAAAAATAGCTAACATCACTGCACACATTATTTACTGTACTTTTGTTTAACCTTTGATAAGAACATAAGAATGGTCATACTGTGTCAGACCAATGGTCCATCTAGCCCAGTATCCTGTCTTCCAACAATGGCCAGTGCCAAATGCTTCAGAGGGAAGAGAACAGGGCAATTAACAAGTGATTCATCCCCTGTTGTCCAGCCTCAGCTTCTGGCAGTTGGAACACCCAGAGCATGGAGTTGCATCCCTGATCTTGGCTAATAGCTGTTGAGGGACCTGTGCTCTGTGAACTTATCTAATTCTTCTTTGAGCCCAGTTATCCTTTTGACTTTTACAACATCCCCTGGCAACAAGTTCCGCAGGTTGCCTGTGCGTTGTATGAAGTAGTACTTCCTTTTGTTTATTTTAGAGCTTCTCCCTATTAGCTTAATTGGGTGATCCCTGGCTCTTGTGTTATGTGAAGAGGTAAATAACATTTCCTTATTTACTTTCTCCACACCATTCATGATTTTATGATAACATTCATGATAATGAGCAGACATAATTCACTGATTGTCTGAGCTTCTGAAGTTGTCATGGATTATGGATCGTATATGTTGAAGAAAGAGATGGTTGGGTTAAAAAGATTGCAGGGACAGAATGTTCATCTTGAAAGTCAAATGTATGTTGCTCATTCTTGGGCAGGCTGGGATCTGCACATGATTAAGTCCGTTGCTGAATTGGGGTTTAGCAATAATACCAACTCCCCTTTGTAATGTGGTTGGAGCAAATGACGTTCTTTCCACTGCCCCAAATCCAGTTAAAAGCTAGCAGAAGGCTAGTAAATCATAAACTTTGCTCAAGCACAGGGTTCATTGGTGAAGGTCTGTTCTAATTTCTTTGGTTTAATGTCTCTGTCTTTTTCTAGGTGCTGAAACCATCCTTTTCTGGGTTGCTGAATTTCTTTCAATTTCTGTATTAAAATCTTCCATCCCAGTGTATCTATTTCACTCACTAACAGTAAAAGCCAGCAGGTGGCAACCTTTC